CACCTGAATGTCAACAGCCGTCTGACCGTCAGCGGCCGTCGAGAACACCTGGCTCTTCTTCGTGGGGATCGTGGTGTTACGGTTGATCAGACGCGTAAAGACACCACCGAGCGTCTGGATACCCAGAGAGAGAGGCGTCACATCCAGCAGCAGGATGTCAGTGACGTGACCAGCAAGAACACCACCCTGGATCGAGGCACCAATGGCGACCGCCTCATCGGGGTTCACACCCTTCGAAGGCTCGCGCTTGAAGATGTTCTTCACAGTCTCCAGCACCTTGGGCATGCGGCTCATACCACCGACCATGATGACCTCGTTAATGTCACTGGCCTTGACACCCGCGTCGCTCAGGGCCTTGTTGCAAGGCTCCACGGTGCGCTGGATCAGCTTGGCAATCATGCCCTCCAGCTGCGCGCGGGTAATCTTGGAATTGATGTGCTTGGGGCCCGTGGCATCGGCCGTGATGTACGGCAGGCTAATGTCCGTAGACGAGGTGCTCGAAAGCTCAATCTTGGCCTTCTCGGCAGCCTCGCGAATACGCTGGATGGCCATGCGGTCCTTGCTCAGATCAATGCCATTCTCCTTCTGGAATTCCTTCACCAGGTGCTCCACAATGACAATGTCAAAGTCCTCACCACCCAGGTGCGTGTCACCGTTGGTCGACTTGACCTCAAAGACACCCTTGGACATCTCCAGAATCGAGATATCGAACGTACCACCACCCAAGTCGAACACGGCGATCGTACCGCTGTCCTGACGGTCGAGACCGTAGGCCAGAGCGGCAGCAGTAGGCTCGTTGATCACACGAAGAACCTCGAGACCAGCAATGGTACCGGCATCCTTGGTGGCCTGACGCTGCGAGTCATTAAAGTAGGCAGGGACAGTAATCACAGCATGCTTGACGGGCTTGCCCAGGTAGCCAGAGGCCGTCTCCTTGAGCTTGCCGACAATAAAGGCACCAATCTGCGACGGCGAGTACTTGTTGCCACGAGCCTCGAGCCAAGCATCACCGTTGGTGTGGGCAACAATCTTGAAGGGAACGTTGTCCAGGTCCTTCTGGACCTCGGGGTCCGTGAACTTGCGACCAATCAAACGCTTGGTGGCAAACAGAGTTGCCTCAGGGTTCACAACGGCCTGGCGCTTGGCGGGCAAGCCGACCAGGCGCTCGCCATCCTTGGTGAACGCGACAACCGAAGGCGTCGTACGACCACCCTCCGAGTTTTCAATCACGCGGGCCTGCTGGCCCTCCATGATGGACACACAAGAGTTGGTGGTACCCAAGTCAATACCGATGACAGGTCCGTTGACTTTGCCCGAGTTGAAGCGCACACCTGCAGCAACAGGAACACGGAGCGACTGCGACAGCAGGCAACCCGAAGAGGGCGCCATGCGGATACTACGCGAAAGAGCGCCAATCATGGTATCTAGTGGAGCCAGGTGGCAAACGAAGAAACCCCGGCCTCTTGCACGCAAACGTGCATGCCCCTTCCGACCCCTACACGACTTCTTTGGCCTTCTGCGGCTTTCGGCCTCCACGTGTAAGCCACGTGAGTAGGCGGCTCGGTTCATGCCCGGGTTCCCACGTGAAGGCATGTAACACAGTACGCCCGTGCGGGCTTGGTGCTAGCCCGAGACGAGAAGAAAGAGACACCCGTGGTCAAGCCATGGCATGCAACGTAATGGAACCAGTGCGAACGGTACTGGTGCCATGTGACGGCATACACAGATACTTCTGAGGCTACCCACCCAGCACGTGGTGTGGCGGACAGGGCTGACAGTAGGCCTTGAACGGGCTACACGAATACTACCTAAGGCTATAGTATGTGATAAGATAGTAGTTGAAGCTTCATTCCTTTTTTTCACGGGCAACATAGGTCTGCCAAACAGACACTAGCTGCCGGCCCACATTGGGCTCCAGCTCGGTACCGTCACGAGAGACTTTAATAAGTCGATTGTCTCGCCAGGGATTGCGTAGATTCTGTATTTCAGAGAATGGCAAAGGCTCGGTGATTTGCCAATCCAGGTAAAAGGGACGACCCACTTGGAGGGATCGCGACTCGCTCATTAGTGTTTCGGTTTGCAGCGCAAGCTCATCGTTCTTGTCCACAGTCGTCTCTGAGCTCGCCAAACGTGGTTCCGCAGAGGCATCTTTTTCCTCCAGAGATTCGTTGTGGCGCTGGGCAGACGCAGCAAGATCCTGGTGTAGGTGTTTTCTGGCCTTGCTGGAGGGAGTAGGTGACCCAGATGAGCCGAACGAATGTGAGGGACTAACGCAGTGGGTATCTTCCGGGTGAGCGGTGGCCTTCGAGTCCTCAGTAGGCTGTTCCGAGGAAGGCTCACAGGTATCATCCAACGACGAAATGTCCAGCAAGTTTTGTACCTCGTCCACTGGACTCGGCACGCTGCCCGGACAACTCGCCATGGTTGCAAACCCGAAGAACTGACCACTAAAATTTTCACTGAAAAAAAGGGTCACCATCTCACTGTTGCGGAATGCCTGGTCGAGTACAGGCTCGTTGTGCGGCTGTGTGGACCAAATGTTCGTCTGCAGCGCTGTTACTAGTGCCTCGCGGTTGCGAGATTTGAGGATGAAGAATCGATGAGAAAAAAGAGGCTGACGCAGAAGAGACGAGTTGGTCGAGGAGAACGTGCGCGTAGAGCTTGCATCAGAGTCGTCGTCACCCAGGTCATTGTTCCCAGCTTTTTCAAGCAGCTTGCATTGTTCCCGGTACCAGTTGGTATGAACGCCTTTACCTCGCTGAGCCGCGACACCAGCATATTCAGCATCTTCCAATTTCCGCGGGCGACACACCAAGCGAGGGCAGTGAATCTTGCTTCGGAGTGGCTTGCCGTGGAAATAGGCACAAGCGCGATCCAAGTGTTCCTGTCCCTCATAGTTCACAAAAGCACAGCTGGAGCGCGAAATGATAAAGATGGAAAGGATTCCGTGAGAGGAAAGCGTAACATCTGATGCATCTGCCCCAGGCGACGACAACGGAAGGGTGCTGAGGAAGGACCAGAGCTCATCAAGAGTTGCATCAGATGGGACATTTCCGCACCACATAACATAATTCGAACGCGTGCCGTGGAGTTGGCTTGTCGGCATGGCACCTGACACGTCCTGCGTCATGGACTCAGACGTAGACTGCGTGGCTGGCGCAGCTACCACCTCGTCCGAAACAGGCGCAGACGACATGGGGGATGTCTCATCCGGTTCAGAAACATAGTTTTTCGACTCAGCAGCGCTGTTTTGGCCGGGCGACAAGGCTGGGGCAGAAGAGCGACGACGTGACGGTGCACCAGACTTTTTTCGTCGAGGAGGGTTCGCGCGTGGATGAGGAGTCCCTGCGCTCCCAGCCCCATGGTGCAGACGCTGGGGGTAGCCCATAGGGAGGGGTACAGCCCCTCCCCTCATGGGCACCATAGGATGGGAGGCAGCCCTTGGGTAAGAAAAGTAGCGGGGATCATGGTATACGTAGGGAGCCCCACCTTCTGTGCCGGCCGCAGGATGGAAGACTTGCGACGTTGGATTCAGAAAGAATGAACCGTAAGGAGCGTGAGACTCGGTGCCATACGACGATGTAGGGGACATTCCAGCGTAGGGGCTTTGCTCGGTGTCGGCGCCCGGCATGGTATGGGCGAAAGGTATGCGGACCATGGGGGCACCGGACGGGGCTGAGTAGCAGACCTGGCGCTGGTACATGGGCATAGAGTAGTATACGCCCATAGGAACAGGCGACATCATGCCAGTGGGAGAGGGATACCTTTCCCTCGAAGCTGCGTCCTCTTGAGGATCCTCTGCTTCCGAGTCGTCCATGCGTGAATAACAAGGAGGGTCTGAAGGGGAGAAGGTGACTGGGTATCCCATCGAAAGATCAGGAGGATAGTATCCATAAATATAATAACCTGGGTATGCTTCTGGAGGTGCATACGAGGCGGGATGAAAGGATCCGTCTGCGGGCGAGAAACGTGTCGAGGGTGAGTGTGTGTCCCCGGCGCCGTTTGTCGAAGGATCATCGTTCAAATTGGTCGCAGTAGTAGCACGGTTCGACGAAGTGCCATGGGGACGATGTGTAGAGTCTGTACTAGAAGGTAGGCTGGAGCGAGACGAGTGATCGTTCAAAGGGTCTGGGTCAGCGGGCTATCACACACGCACCTGAAGTCAACTCGCTAGCAGGACTCGTGTATTTGTCTGTGCTCGCGTAGCTGATCGATGTTTTACTTTTGCCTTTCGATTCCTTTTGCATCCAATACCAGGTGGGCTGGCAGGGGACGAAAAAGTAGGGCAGCTCGGTCTGCGTGCGAAGCGGAGAGTCTGCCTGTCCGATTTAGCCTACAGTGAGGTCCAGAGGACAACCAAGTGAACGTCTTGTTCTTGACGCGGTAGTCTCGTGCGATAGGAACACGTTTGTACAAGACCTCCGAGGAAGAAAACACACTTGGCGGAGCACGGAACCAATAATGCCGCAAGAACGCTTATGACATCGCTGTCCCCTCCCAGCGGCGATCTATTGCTGCAAATTGGATCCGCCGGACGACTCGCACGCGTGTCCAGTGGCTGATTAGAAAATTGTGTTCCCTGATTACTACAAGCAAGTTTGTCTCTCCAATCAATATAAAGAACAAAGAGTAAGGGTCCTTCGCGTTCTCCGAGATGATATATCGAGGCCAATCAGATTGTGGTTCACCCGGTAGGGCTACGGCCCCTCTACGTGGCAAAAGCCACGTAATCTTACATGCCAACTCTAACCCTGACCAACTCGCGGTCTCATGACTAGGGCAGCGAAGACGGCGTGGGGGCATACAGAGTTGCTATAGCAATTAGAAATAGAAAAATGTTGAGCTGATGAGGTCTATCTATGCTGGCTGGTAGGCTGAGGGAACGGGTCGGGTCGGGCTGCTTTGTCGGCATGCGGCGAAAAGGAGAAAGGGGCAAGGACTCCGATTCCGGCAACCGCCCTGTGAAAACCCGTCTACCAAGTGATCGACCGAAAAAAAGAAGGTCCACGCGGGGCTCGAACCCGCAACCCTCAGCTCGCCCCTACCCACGTAGTGTTGTAGAAGGCTGATACGCTACCATTGCGCCAGTAGACCCAAGTATCACCGCAGTTCTACGTTTTGGCCTACAAAACCATGTCGTGTGTGGAGGCCGACCGAGCAACGCATTCCTTGGCTTCACCCGCGCTCGGTCCAGGATGGTGTCGCCGGAGGAACACGAGCAGGTCATCATAGAAGAATGGGAAGTACTCGAAAGCATCTATATGGATGAGATAGAGCGTTCGTATCCTACGCTTACTTGCAGAGGTATCCCGTGAGCATTTTAGGATCCAAGTTGTGCCGGAAGACTACGACGCTGAAAAGAAGGACCCCGTGCTAAAACTCGACGTGCGGTACACGGACGCGTACCCTGACGAAGTACCACAACTCTGCATTCGCGTTATCGAGGATGAGCGCCAAGTGCTAGGCGTGCCCCCGGCCGACGAGACACCCGACGAGGAGACATTCTCGGCTTCGGATGCACGCGAAGGCGTCCAGACTTTGCTGGCAGGGCTCCAGGATGTTGCGCAAGAATGCCTAGGCATGCCTATGGTCTTTAGCATCGCATCGCACTTGCGGGAATCGCTCACCGACTATATGACGAAACAGGCACAGGCTGCTGAGAAAGCTGACAACGAACGGCGCGAAGCGGAGCTACGGGCCGAGGAAAAAAAGTTCCGTGGCACAGCTGTGACCGTGGAGCGCTTCCATGCGTGGCAAATCGAGTTTCTACGAAAACGCGCTGAGCGCAAGGCCCAGGAAGAAGAGGCCTACATGGCAACGCTCAGTGCCAAGGAGCGTGAAGAGTACCGGCGCATGAAGGCCAAGCCCACAGGGCGCGAGCTGTTCACCAAGCCGGGTGCTGGTATCGAGGAGGACAAGAATACCGACGTCCAGGACGTCGATTGGAGCTTGTACTCGCGCGAGGAGCGCGAAAAGCAGGCACGCGAGGATGCCGAGCAGCCGTCCGAGGGCTTTGTCGAAGACTTTGACGACTACATAGTCAATCGCTCATAGGCCCACTCTAGCGACGCCAGTGACGCCGCTGGCCGCGGTAAAGTCCCAGCCATATCGCCAAACACGACGACGCCCTGCACTTGGTCCACGTAACTGCCCGGCGGGAACTGGCCCTGTGCAACGAGGCGCGCAACCATCTTTTCGCAAACGGATTCCTCCAGTTGTACATGCGCAGACAAGCGCGCGATTGGCACCACGGAAAACGAGCGCGCGAGCGCACACAGTGTATGCTCGCTCAGCGCAAGCGCCGCCGCTGAAAGGCCATAGCGTGCGGGCGTTCGGTGGCACGCGTGCCATGCGCCTTCCAGTGCTTGGGTATCCGCGTCCCGCAGCACCTGGCCACGGGAGGCGCGTTGGAGTGCCTCGCAAAACGGCCAGCTAGCCGCGCGCTCGTCTTGGGCAAGGCGCTGTAAGAGCGTCGTGCGCGCTGTGCTGGGCGATGCAGCGAGCGCATGCAGCGCAGCCAGCTGCGCCATATGGCCCTGCTCCTTGGGCGAGAAGCGTGTACTCGCGCTGAGCTCGAGGCACCGCTGCGCCGCGTCGTTGAAGCGCCGCTGTAGCGCCAGCCAATGCGCTTGGCACACGGAAAAATCATGCTGGAGCGCCACATCGTCGCGCGCCGTATGTAGTGCGGCCGTTGCACACTTGAGAGCGTGTGCCGCGGCATCCTCGTCACCCGCGGCCATACAGAGCTGTACCACTTTGACACACAGGCTTGGCCATGAGGCATTGCGCTCGCCGCGCATAGACTCGGGTGTGACGGTCTGGAGAACACGCGCCGCATCACCGTAGCGCTCGAGTTGCTCGAGCAGCTGTGCATGCCATCGCCGCCACCCCAGCAGCTCGTCGTCCCATAGTGCGGCGTGTGCCTCTAACAAAGAGAGTATGGGCGGAAGTACCGCATCACATAGCACCTCTGCCGAATGCAGCGGGTGCTCTATAGCCTCATGGGCCTGTATCAGCTTTTCAAGCAGCTCGGGCACGAGTCGCCGCGCCATCAGCAGACCAGCGCCAGCCGTATTGACACGGTGCAGCACAGCACCGCGCACATACGCCACAAGGCCCTCTGTGAGCGCAGATACAGGGCGCGCATCGAGCACATCGTTTAGCACCGCCGCATACGCAGCAAGACGCTCTGCCCCGCTCGACACGAGCGCGATCTGCGCGAGCCGTGCATCGACCTCCATATGGGGCAGGGCGCACGTCCCCCGCCGCGAGACACCGCCGAGCTGGATCGGCCGAGCTCCCTCCGCCATGGTGCAGCCCGCCGAGCTGCAAGCGTACCTCGGCGCGTGTGCGGGCTGGCCGCGCGTGCACCGATTGTGGTATGTGATAGAGCATCAAGCATCCCTACGTGTGTGGGCGGCTACAGAGGTGGCGGCGCTGCTGCAGCAGACATGGGACACGGAGCGTTTCCGCACGGCCTGCGCTCTGCGCGGCCTGCCATGCTCGCCTGCCGAGGAGGCCTGGGCGGCCGAGACGGACGCGACCACGCAGCAGGCGCTCGCAGCCCTCCTGGCCGATCTAAGTTCGTGCCAGGTGCATGGTTCTCGCGAAACGATCCGCCATGCTCACATGGCGCTCGGCGACCACTATCGCGCATGCGGACGCTTCCGCGAAGCCCTCGTCCACCACGAGAATGCGCGTGAGTATGCCACAGAGCCCGCGCACATGTTCGACGCCGATAGGGCCGCGATGGAAACAGCCAGCGATGCTGCCGAATGGGCGCGCGTGCTTAGACACGCAGACCATGCAGAAGCATCGCTGGACACGCAAGAACGGCTCGGACACAATACAGCGCCCATGCGTGCGCGCCTACAGGCATTTCGCACACTCGCGCACTGGGCGCTAGGAGAGACCAAGGCTACGGCATGGCCCGAGCCGCTCGGTGAGCCGTACGACGCTTACAGCGATCTCTGTCCCCCCGCGCTATGTGCGTGGTATGCTGTGCTATGGGCGCTCGGCGCGCCGCCTGCGCAACAGCGCGCACGCGTGGCGCAGCTGCAGCAGAGTCCCATGTTTCGTTGGTGGGCACAACAGGCACCCGCACCATCGCGCGTGCTCGACGCGTATGTCCAAGGCGATTGGGCCGCCGTCGTACAGCAACTGCGCGAGGCCCGATCCATTTGGGCGTGTGAGCCCACGCTCGGCGTCGCGCGCGCCGATGCATGCGAGGAGGCCGTCGTACAGCAACTTTTGGCACGGTACCTCTGTGCGTACCGCCGCGTCTCGCTTGGCTCGCTCGAGCACGTATTTGGCGCACCGGTGCTGCGCTTACTCGTGCAACTCGAGGAAGAAGGACTCGCTGTACGCGTGGATGTGGCCGCTCAGACGGTCGATGAGTTCACAGACTCGCGGCTGGAGCAGGCAGCGCTCCGTCACGTACAGCAGGCCGAGGCCCTGCGCCGGCGCTGGGCTCTCGCGCAGCGTTTGCAAATCGGACTGCGGTAGTTATGTCGGCCAGCCACGCGGCGCAGCAGGGGGTGCGGGCCAAGGCGCAGGCGCCTCGGTCCATGGGCCCGTCCAGCCCCACACACTCGCCAGTGCTTGGTTCGAATCGGGCCACGTCGACGCAGGCCACGCGCGTGCCTCGACCGTTTCGCGGTCGGCTTGGACAGCCTTCATGGCGAGATCAATGGGGTCTTCAGCGTCCTCAGCGACGCGCACCGTAAACAGGCCGCGCGCATCGTTGTAGGCCAAACCGCTCGTTTCAAATTCAGCCATGACCTTGGCATCCACGAGCACGTCGAGAATGCGCGCATAGTCCGAGCCCGACTGCGCAGGGTCCGCGCGCGTCTGCGTCGGCACTGCATACTGCGACTCGTCACAGGGGTGCATGGTGCGGCGGATCGGGCCGAGATCGCGCAGATCGTCGTCCTCCATGACGTGTACATAGACGGTGCCCGACTCGTCGACGTCGTGGGCGTTGGGCAGCAAGTCAAAGGGGTAGGCCGCGCGAATCAAGTTGACCAGATCGACAAGGGCACTCCAGAATGCTTGACAACGCGCATCCACGCTGCGCTGGATGCACGCGAGGCGCGCGACGCCATCGGAGGCCAAACTCGACGCGGCCGTCATGTGATCGACGGCCTCTTGCAGCTCGATAGCGGCGTGGGCCGCGTGCGTACGACAAGCGTGAATGTACTCGAGATGCCCTTTGACCCACTTGAGACCGATACGCACCGCTGGCAATGTGCGGCGCAGCACGCGGCCCACCGGCAGCAGTCGTGGCTCGGTGGCGGGTGGCTGTGCTCGCAGCATGGCCACCAGCTCCTGCCGCACCACGACCAGTAAAGAGGCAAGCGTGCCGAATACATGCGCCACGAGCATCGTCTCCCAGGCCTTGCGTACATGCTCTTCCAGCGTGGCCGTGTCCATATGCAGCGAGTACGGTGCGCCTGTCGAGAAAGGCAGGCGCGTTGTCGATGGCGGACGCCATAGACGCGCCGTCCACGAGGCACAGATGCCTGTCACCAGTATACGAAGGTAGTCGACCGCACGCAACTGGTGCGCATCGGTGAGCATGACCAAATGCCGTAGTAGTGCCTCGTTGAGCACACACGCCACGTCGAGATCCACTTGCAGTGCGTACATGCTGTGTAGCTGCACAAACGACGCGAGCCACGCTTGGGCCGAGTCCCAGCGCACACTTACTTGGGGAATCGGTACGCGGTGGCCGGGGCTGTCTTCAAACGAGGCTTGGCGCCACGCCGTAAGAATATCGTCGCGGCTCGCATCCACGAGCCACGACTCGAGCGCAGTATCCAGCAGGCGATGCAGGTTGAAGCGCGCTTTTTCAAAGGGTACACGCACGCACAGCGCACGGTAGTACTGGTACATGGCCCCAAACGTGTCGCCCACAAAGAGCGCAACGACAGCGAGCTGATTCGATGGGTTGCCGTGGTCCGGCAGCAGCAGGTGTGCCTCGTGATAAAAGCGCAGAGCCAACCCAAAGTCGTGGGGCACGGCATCCACACCAGCGTTGCGGCGGCGCGGTGCCAGGGCAGGAGGAAGCATGGCGTGCATCTCGCGATACCGGT